TTCCTCCCATGCTCTGAAAGAACCATCCCAACCTTGCCTTCGTCCCGACCACCAGAAAAATTGCTCTTTTAAGAGTCCCAGTGTCCCTCATGTTGCCAATTTCACTGATTAATATTCCTCTCATTTCTCTTTCTATGTTTGAAACACCTGACCACTCTGGCTTCCTTCATGTGCTTCTCTCAGTTTGTTTCAAAATCCCAACCTCTTTTGCTTTTCCTTCCATCCCACCAGTTATTCTAGCTCTGTGTCCCTTGCTTGTTCCTCTACTTCTTCATGACTTAATATTAGAGCCCCAGTGTTAAGTTCTTGGTCATCTTCTCTTCCATGTTCATATAATTCTTTTGGTCACCCCCTCGTATGCCACCAATACGTTGTCCACTCAAAAGCCACTATCTCTAGCCCAGCCTCCTCTGGCATTTCCAGCTGCCCTGGCTACCTGTGGACCTCTGATAGACAGTGAACATCAAAATTAAGTCCAAACCTGAAACCATATCTTCTTCATACCCATTCCACATCTTCTCCATCTCAGGTGGTATTAAGTCCATCTTTCTAGTTGCTCAGGCCAAAAACCTAGTCACCTTTATTACTGTCTCTCACAATTCACACCCAACCTGTTGACTCTATGTTCAAAACACACCTAGAGATAACATCGGGAAGTGTGTGCAGATCCTGGGGAGCAGGGTGTGGACCAGAGCTGTGCAGCTGCAGGCAGATCCCAGCCAGTGCTCCACCCTGACCCCAGAGGTTCGGGCACACAGTACCAAGCCAAAGTCCCATCCAGGAAAGAGCTACACATGTGTAAGTTTCCACCAGAGACCTGCCCCATAGCATTGGTAAGTGTCCATAGATCTCGGGGGTGGGGGGTGGGGGCAGGGTGTAGACCAGAGCTGTGAGGCTGCAGGCAAATCCCAGCCAGGGCCACTCTCTGACCCCAGAGGCTTGGGCACACAGGTGAAAGCCAAAGGCCTGCCTGGAAAAGAGCTGCACAAGCAACAGCCAGAGGCTCACCCTGATACCACTGGTAAGTGAGTGGAGACCCTAGCCAGAAGCCTGCTCAGATAACAGGAACTGGGGTACATAGCCCCCAGCCAAAGACCCTCCCAGACAACAGCTACATAGGGGCTCCAGCCAGAGGCACACAAGATACCATCCCAAGTGGGAATAGACCCCAGCCAGAAGCCTGCCTAGACAACAGGTCAGCTCAGGGATCCAGAAGGCCACCATTCTGAACCCAGGAATTGGTGTATTGGTGAGCAGCAGAGAAAAGGCCATTTAGTGGCTTGCTGAGAACTGAGACCACTGGGTAAGCAAAAAGTTTCCCCAACAAAGGCAAGCAGGCTACATCTGTTGAAATGAGAAGACACACAAATAAGTCTCAAAACCAGACTTCCAATCACCTAAAGCAACCCTAAAGGGAAATGAGATGAACAATCTGATACTCAACCACCTGGACACTCTGAACTGACAACAAAAGAGGATCTGAAGAAATGAAATCAGAAATCATTTCTCAGATAACAGCAGAGATTGTGCCCATGGTACAAGACATGATTAATAAATCTAGAGTGGACACATTAAAAAAAATAGAGGAGCTGAGGAACATGATGGAATCCCAACATAGGAAACAAATGGAATCCATAAAACATATGCAAACAAATGTCCAGGAGATCAAAAACTCCACTGAAAGTTTATGCAGCAAAATGAGCCAATGCAAGGACAGAATTTCAGATATAGAAGATAGAATTGCAGTTAGTGACCAGGAAAAGAAAAATTTCTTAAAAATAGTACAGGACCACAAGAAATCAATCCAGCAGCTGCTAGACATTGCAAAGAAGAATACCATAAGACCAATCAGAGTCAATAAAGAAACAGGAGAGAGCGCAGATGACATAATACACCTAGAATCGGGCTGCTTCTCACCAGCTGCACTCCTATCAATAAAAATTACTATCTTCTCTTCCTTGGGTTTCTTTGAGAGCACCCTGCCTGGTCTCCCTGTTTCCATCCACCTCCATGTTCTGTTTTCTGCACAGTAGCCAGAGACTATGTAAAACTACAAGTTATTGTCCCTCCGAATCCTCTGTGAGCCTCCATCTCACTCAGGACCCAGTGCGATTCACCCCAACTCTTACCTCTTTGGCTTCATCTTCTACTTTCATCCCTCATTGAATCTTTTCCAATCACACCAATCTCCTTGTACATATTTGGGCACTTTTCCTGGTGTTCTTTTCCTGGAAGGTTTTCCACAGATGTCCTCAGAGATTACTCCCCACTGTTTTCTAGTCTTTTCTCAAATGCCTCTTCTCACCTTCTACCCTGTCTGCTCTATTATATATTGGAACTACCCTCTTGCTCCTGGTATTCTGTCTTTCGTGCCTTTTCTTCCCTTGTCTACATTCATACATAGATATCCTATAAAATTTACTTACTCTCCTTGTTGCTCACAGTCTGTCTTCCTTCTGTGCTAGGGATTCCTATCTGTTTTGCTTACTGTTATACCTAATGTGCTGAGAACAATGTGTGACACCTAAATAGGTGCTCAAATAAATACCTGTTGAGTGAATGTATCTGTGAAGTCAGAATTCAGACTCATATCTGTCTCACTCACAGTGTTCTGAAGTATTACAATCCAGGAGAACCAGAACATACTTGTCAAATGTCTTCCTCCTGTTCCCCTCTCACTACTGGCCTGGTCCCTGCATATCCCCCACAATTTTCCATATTCACATGGTTGTTACAGTCGATTGTGTGCATCCACTCTGTGTTCTAGCACCAACCCTCACCCTTAAGGTGTTGCCAGAGTCATAACCCCATCAGGAAACAAAGAGTCAATTCCCTCAATTCTGAGACTCCCCCTAAATAGTTCTCATCTCACTTTAGATCCTGTCCACAGTATTTTCTGAATCTTCCTTTATGGACTCCTGGTCTTCAAAGATAGGTTTATGGTCAACCTCTTACTCCCAAATACATTTATCTGGGTAGTAGAGGGAAATGTAACAGAAGAAAGCAACGACTATCCACAGAGTTCCGGAATTAGAAAGTATTTTTCAGTGCTTGTATTTATTTAAGGCAGGAATCCACCTTGAATGTCTTGCTTTGCAAGTAGGAACAAAGTTTAATTTTGTGACCACAAATCTAAGGGCTCCTGCTGTACAGAAAAAGGTGGTGGAGAAAAAAGGTGTAAAATGTAGAAAAGGATAGGCAAGATCCCTAAATCCAGCTAGAATCAGGAAGAGTGAAATTCTGAGCTTGGAGGGACACTCTCACCTCTTTGCCAACCCTGTGAGACTCCCATGCCTGTGGAGAGGACTGAGTCCATCCTGGTGTTAAGAGCAACAATTAGGTACTCAGAATTAACCTTCCACCAGGACCGCAATCCCTGAAGATTTACCTGCTACTAGTTAGTGTGCTGGAGGTCTGAACCTGCCTTGAATCTGCTCTGGGTTTCCATGGTGACTACTTAAACTTTTCATCATTCTTCCTCCAGACCTTGGAGGAGAGCTATGCACTCTGGTTTCCATGACAACCACTTAAACATGTATCTATGTCTGGCTTTGTTGGGAAAAGAAGCACTAGAGATCGTGCAAATGAACTAGCTGCTCTCCCTATACTTGAAAAAAGTAAAATGAAAATAAAGTGACACACCTGCTTGGAAGTTTCTGATCTCTGTTTATAACACGAAGGGTGAACATGTCAAACTGCTGTTGGAGGTGGGTGCACTGCATCTCTCTGACACTTACAGTGCTCATCCAGATTCTTGGCTCACCTGCCATCTTATGTAATTATCTGTACTCACCACTTATTCTTCCTCCCCTCTTCCTGGCAGCTAAAAAGCTGCAAGCTCATGGCTGTTTACCTTCCTACTGCATGGTAGAGGAGATAGGGAAAGATATGCCAGAGTGACTAGCCAGCGACCCTACCCAGCCCAGCCCTTGGCCACTGGGGAAAGATGCCATGGACAGCGGGGTTGTCACCTTAATTCACTGTCAATATTTTATCCAGAGGTGTCCTAGGAGCCAGAGTACAGCCCAAGTAATGTGGAAGTCATGCATGTAGCCATTTGGAAGTGATTCCCCATTCCCTAGTGCACTCATGAAATGGGGTGCAGGAGCATTGGGCCAGTGAACAGGAAAGTGCTCTGAGGCAGTCAAAAGGTGAGAGTTACTACCACCTTCCTGGAAGTCTCTGTACTTAGCTTCAGTGAAGTATTCCTAAGCCAGAGGTAGCAGTGGGCTGACAAGCAGAATACTTAAAACATGTTTGGAAACCAGGTGCCAATATTTAAAGTTCTCAAGGCTTATAATGAAAATAGAGACTTCCCACTTCTCTTGAAAAATTAGGTCTGCATCAGAGTTCCACTATCTGTAGGACAGAGCAGCGCCTGTCCTTGCGGACAAACTACGCACTTGCCTTGGTGGGACTTTGCTGAATTCCAATTTTTCTCTGATTCTTTGGAAATAATTGAACTTGAAGCTTGTGATAAAAGGCAGAATAACATTCAAACAAAATCAATTATCCTTTAGCTAAGAGCTGAAGTTGCAAACAGTGAGAAAAGGACTCCACAGTGAGAAAGAGAACTCCTATTTGGGGACAGTGTGGGAAGGAAAGCTGAAAATTACTCTTCAACTTTCTTCTATTTCCCTTCCAGTCACCTTGGGCATGGCTGAGGCTGGTAATCTGGGAAATAAGGCTGTAGCAGAGGATCTGGCATTAGGTTGAGATTTAATGTAAGTTAGTTTCTTCCAAACGAGATGACTTTCTTCATATTACCTCTATTCTTTGGGGATTATTCTTGGTCTTTATTAGAAAAGGAGGAGGAAATAAAAAAATCTTCCTTTTTCTTATTCACATCATTTTTATTCTTTAGATTCTCTATAATTTAACACCTGAGGGAAAAAGAAAATAGTAGTCATTACTGAAAATGAATCTTGGACCTTTAAAAATTATCAACCTGTCAGGAAATTGACTGTGAAACTATGTTGTTTTTCTGTGAATATTTTTAGGGTGCACTATGGGAACAACAAATGTAAAACAAAAGATGAAAGAGATAAGGAATGTTAGAAAAGATGTCAAGACAAGAAAAGGCCAAGCATTGCCCCAAAGGCGAGCAGAATGTGATCAAACAGTGTTTCGCATCCATAAAGGAGTCAAGGCATTTTCATTCTGTAAGAGAAATAATTTGCTGCTGACAGGTGGAATGGATAGAATAATTAGAGCCTGGAATCCTTATCTGCCTGGGTAAGTTGTCTTTCTCCACCGAGATTGTCATCGATGTAGTCATGTACATGAAAACTGGACTAGTGATTCTCTGTTAGAATAATTTAGAACCTCTTTCTAAAGGTAATCTCCCATGTACACAGCCTGTGAAGCTTCTGTTTGTGGCCATTCTTTGGGTTTAATTACAATGTATTTAAAATGTAAATACCTTGCAAGTATAAAGATGCAATGTGGAGGCGTCATTCATCCACATCTCCATGTGATTTTTGTTAATCTCATTATTATCATCCCAACAATAAACCTGGATCAGCTACAAAGTGCAATTAGGGATTGTGATATGTAATCATTGTATATTTCAGTCAAAATTGCTCAGATGGCCCCCAAGTGTGCACTCAATTCTCCACTGGGGTTGTTCAACTCCACCAAAGTTAATGACTCTACCATCCCTAAGGTATATCAGAACTGGCATAAAAGGGAAGGGGTAACTGACCTAAGGAACCAGGGATTGCTCTATAAAGTCTGGGCCTGGGGCTGCAGGGTAGCAAGCAGCGTAATATTGAAGGCTCATTTCCCTCTTCTCCTCTGCAGGTGATTCTTATGTATCCTTCACCATAGACCCTACTGAGCTCAAGGAGCACTTCCTTGACAATAACAGTAACTGCCATTCTAACACCTACTTTGTTCCAGGTACTGTGCAAACATACATCATCTCTCATCTTCACATCAAGCCCACTGACAAATGCAGAAACAGGAGCTCAGAAAAGTTTAACTACTTCTTGGAAGTGGTAACAGTCAGGGTTCAAAGGCAGGTTTGCCATTTCCACTGAGAAGTATTGGAGATGGAAGGAAAATAAGAAGTGAGGAGTTGATTTTCCTGTGTTGATAGTGGGAATTCAGGGATGAATACAAGTCACATACGAAATACTAAAGTTCCTGGCCGAGCTGCTCTTCCAAGCATCCACCCGGCCTACAAGGTCACCTTGTGCACATCAGTAATTGTGTTCATCAACTTTCTGTTGCCACGACAAGTACATGAGCAAAATAACTTAAAGGGGAAAAGGTTTGTATTGGTTGGTGGTTTCAGTCTATGCCCAGCCAACTCAATCGCTTTAGGCCAGTGATGAAGCATAAACATCACACAGCAGGGCGTGGCGCAGAAAATTTGCTCACCTTCTGGCATCCAGGAAGCAGAAAGGGTAAGTGAGCCAGAGTTGAAGAGACAAGGACAAGGCATAGTCTACAAGGTCATGGCCTCTGACCCACTTGCCTAATAGAGGCTCCACCTTCTAAACTCCATGACCTCCCAATAATACCATCAAATTCAGTGGTTTTATCCACCAATGAAGTTAGAACCTCTATGATCCACTCACCTTCCAAAAGCCCTCCAGCAACCAAACCTTCAACAAAATGAGCCTTTTCCCCCCTAATATTGGGGTTGAAGCAAGATTAAAGTCCAAGCTCATTTTTATTTTTAGTTTGAGACAGGGTCTCACTAGGCCACTGAGTTGTCCAGTCTGGGCTTGAACTTGCAATTCTCTTTAGCTCAGCTTCCCAGAGTAGTGGGATTACAGGCATGTGATACCACACCTGGTTCACAATGGGCCAATTGGGGAACATTTTAGACAAGACTCAGACAGTAGTACAGATGGTCACTGAGGCAGTGCAGTGCAGCAGGTAAGCATACTGGGTCAGGTCATTCCCCTACCACTTTTGGTCCAGGTGGATATGATCAAGTACTGCAACCTCAGTTTTCTCATTTCTAATGGTAAAATCAAGGGGACCCACCTCCTAAAATAGTAACAAAGATTAAAAATGAAAGAACATTCATAAAAAACTCAGCACTATGTCAGACACATAATAAGAAATAGAAATCATTTACTGCCCGCCTCTATCTACCCATTTGTGTAGTACTTGAGAACACTTTGCTTGATTATAAGAAGACTGGGCTCTCCCCTTTAACCTCAGCCCTGCCTCTCTACTCCTTCCCCGCTCACTCTTCCATGGCACTAACCCCAAGACCTTTCAAAGGTGCTGTGATCCCTCCGAAGCCCTTAACTTGTATTACAAAGCCCTTCACTGCAGTCGCCTGCCTTGGAATCCATTCCCAGCCCACCCTGGGCTCTTCCTTGCATATTCCTTTTATAGTGCTATTGTTAACAGTTGGAGAAACAAAGCCCAAAGCTTCATCTCACCCAGAGTTCTGTTGCTATAACTGGACATTATTTACTTCAACCCTTTTATCACACATGATATATACATGTGTAATTTCAGAGGGAAACAGCACCCTTCTCCAGGCAAAATAGAGCTGTCAAACCTGGGCCGAATTTAGTTTTGCATTTTTATTTAGAACTAGACAGAACTGCTTTGTGTTCATCTTCTTCCTTTTTTTGTTCTAGAAAACCAACAGGTGTGCTGAAAAGCCACATGGCTCCAGTGATCTACATCCACACAGCTTCTGAGGATAACAAAATATTTTCCATGTCCACTGACAACACCATTAAGGTCTTTCCCTTTTTATGTTTGATACTTGCAACCTCTAACCCAGTTTCAGACACAGAAGACATTCCCTTCATGTTTGATAGCATGTGAAGCCCCTCACGTGGGTAGATGTTCACACAGGTGCCTTTGCTCTGGACAGGGCGTGAGCAGACAAATGAATACTTAAGAAGACTTTTGTACCTGGCATTATGTGTGAGATCAAGTAGATCTTCCAGCATTTCAGTCCCAACTTACACACTGGCCAAATATTCCATGTCCCAAATACTCTGTGTTTTGGGAGAAGGGAACCTGAGGACAGAATGGGAATCCCCAGGAGGCAGCAGCCCCTTGCCACCAGCGGTTATCACTGCCTTTGCAATGCACATAAACAAATGGGTCCTTTCCAAAATGTCACCTATAGGACTTAGAATTTGAACATTTCTGACCCTGGTAGAGGCAGTAACATCACTGTTTCCGATTGTTTGCCTTCACGTCTCTTTATGCCAAAAGTCATATCTATCTCAAATTTGGTTATCCTGTGACCTTTACAATGCACTGCTTCTTCTTCTTTTTTCTTTTTTTTGGTACCAGGGATCGAACTCAGGTCCTTGCGCTTGCGAGGCAGGCCACCGAACGGCTGAGCTAAATCCCCAGCCCCTACAATGCACTGCTTCTTATACAAAAAGAAGCCATAGGCTTTTTTTTTTCATCTGTCATTTCATTTCAGTTGCTTTTTCAGTGAGTATGACAAGTTTTTACCTCTTTTATCTTTTACAGTTTACCTTCTCTACTAGACTGTCCTGAGGCCAAAAGGAGGGAATTGGGAGTGAATCAGTGGGATGTGGGAACCTGAGGAAGGAGACCAGTGCCACTGCCTTGTATCAATACACAAACTTGCTCCTGACCACTCACAGCACAAATGATTGATAGATGCTCTAGGTTGAACTATGTACCTTCCCCAAATTTTATTTGTTGAAATCCTAACCCTCAGTGCTTAGAATATGACCATATTTAGATAAAGGGAGGAATGAGTTCTGTTAAGTGAGATCATTAGGGTGGGCCCTAATCCAGTATGATTTGAAAAATCACAGATTCAGGAGCAACCATCATAGCAAGAAGACAAGCATCTTGCCTTCTGCAAGCCAAGGAGAGAGAGGCTTCACAGGTGTCCTCCTTACATCTTGATCTCGGCCTTCCATCCTCCAGAACTGTGAGAAACTAAATTTCTGTTAGTTAAGCCAACTAACTGAATTTCTGTTGTTATGGCAACCTTAGGAAACTAATAGAACACATCTCCCTATTCTGTGGTCATAGGAGTGGGCCTCATTCATTCATTCAACAAACAGACTGAGTGCCTATCATGTGCTAAGCACTGTCCTGGGTAGGGTAGATATAGTAAAGAAATAGTCAGAATTTCCTGCTTTCATGAAGGATACAATCTGAAGTTGGGAGGAAGGCATGAGGAAATTAAATAAATAAATAAAATTGCACATACATTAGGTGGTAACAAGTACAATGGAGAACAAACAGCAAGGCAAGCAGGGAGAACTAGGAAAATTGTGTTCCTATTTGCTGTGATCTGGTTAGGAATGACCTCACTAAGGTGACATTTAAGAAAAGGCCTGGAAGGAATGAGGTGGCGAGCCATGCCTACACCTGGAGAAAAGAAAGAGTACTGCAGGTGGAGAAAATGACAAGCGCAAAGGCCCTGAGCTGGGGACGGAGCAAGAGCTGTGATGGGAGTAGAAATGGGATAACACGAGCAGGGTGGGTTGTGGAAGGTCAACTAGCCTGCATAAGGACTTGGGCTGGTTGTCATTTCGTTTCACTTATCAGAGATGTGGGACATAGAAGTGACATTATATGACCTCCATTCAGGCAGGGATTTCATGCTGCTGGGCTGCTAATGCAGCCCAGAATGGTCAGAGCTGAAGCAGAGCATTAGCCTGAGTGAGAGATGACACTGGTCTGCACAGGGTGGCCGCAGTGGGGCTGGAGACAAGTGATGTGGATGTAGATCCCGGGTTAACAATCCTCATTCATAACTCCAAACTTCAGAAAGGCCTGATAACGCGGTTTCTTTTAGTAAAGCTGAGCCATATTCATTTGGCAGAGGAACACGACCTAAATTTACTTGAGTCTATTTAACAGTCTTTATCCTATTTGTAAGGAACATTCATGTGTTTGGTTATAGAAATATAAATGTGCCTGATTCTGGGGAGCTGCCACAGAATCTATTGTGGGTGGTTATGTCTTACATGACCTTAAAAAATTCAAAACCATCTGTATTCCAAAGCATACTGAAAGTAAAGACAAGAGGATTTGGTGATGTTTTAGAGAAGGTTCTCAAAGTAAGAGAGAAAAAACAAAAGCCTGGCATAACAGAGTATATGGGGTGCATCTAAGGCAGAGCTTAGGTAGAAACTTGAGGCATAAACAAAAAGAGATCTTAAATCAATAGCATCACTTTCCACATGAAGATACCTGAAAAAGAAGACCAAACTAAGCCAAGTGAATCAAGCAAGTAAATAATAAAGACAAGAGTGAAAAGTAATGATATAGAGAATAAGAAAACAATGGAGAATATCAGCAAGCCCAAAAGTTAATTCTTTTAAAAATCTACAAAATTGATAAATTTTTGCCTACACTTATCAATAGAGGAAAGGACAAGGTTCAGATTACTAAAATCAAGAATGAAAGAGGAAACATTACTACTAAACTTAGAAAAACAAAAAGGATTATAAAGAAATACCATAAACAATGCAAATGCCATAGTCAGGCAATCTAAACAAAATGCACACGTTCCTAAAAAGATAGAAACTATCTTAAGCTGGCTAAAGAAGAAAAACTTCTGTCTTGGGAGCTGCCTATCTGTCCATCAACAGTTGAATGGATAAAGAAAATGTGCTATTTATATCAACTGGCCTACTACTCTGCCATAAAGAAGGAGAAATTTGAGTCATTTGTAGTAAAATGGGTACACCTTGAGACCATAATGTTAAGTGAGGTAAATCAGACACACAAGCTTCAGTATCACATGGTTTGTCTCATATAAGAGACTCAATATATAAATAAAGTGCAAAATAAAAGCCCGTTGGAGGGGGGAAAAAGTTACTGCAATCCAGCATGGTCAATGCATTTATAAGTGTTCCTTGAATTAGTAAAATTGTCTTATGTGTTTTATATGTTTTTGGCCTGTTGGTCTGGCTGTTAATCTGTGTTTATGATAATTAACTTGATAAAATTAATAAATAAGTCTGATGTAAGGAAAAAAACAAAACACCTTTTTTTAAGAAATACGGGTGGGGGCGGGGATTTAGCTCAGTGGTTTCATTCCTACCTCACAAGCGCAAGGTCCAGAGTTTGATTCCTGGTACCAAAAAAAAGAAAAGGAAAGAAAAGAAAAAAAAAAGAAATAGGAGTGGAAGGGAAGGGGGAATAAAAAGAATAGATATGTGCTATATACACATAAACAATGAATGTAATTCCCCACAATTAATGTAATCATTATGTACTAATACAAATTTTTATAGCTTCTAAAAAAGATTTTTAAAAGAAGCAATCTGAATATTCCTATTAAAGTGGCACTTGGAGGGAAGGCAGACCAAGGAAGAGAGCGGCACTCAGAATTGAAGGGAAAGGCAGGTTTATTCTCTAGCTGGCGGGACCAGTGGAAGTCACCTCTGAGTCCGAGCCCCATTTCTAAGTTTGCTCTCATATTTATCTGTTCTTTAGCCAGGGCGGGGAAGCTAGCAGAATTTTTAAAAAGCAGAATTTAGCAAAGGATAGGGAGGTGGGGGTGAATGTTGTTTTTACAGTTTATGTTTAGGACATAAAGAGGGAGGCAGCTGGATGTCAGCAGTTCATCTTCCAGGCACAGTGACCTTTGTGGGTTTAGCATAAGGAGTAAGCCTTAGACTGTTAGCCTTGAGACCTTCAGTCTCTTTTCTGTCTTTTGTTTTTTCCATTTCACTGTAAACAAGTAAAGATACTAATAAAAAAATTGCTGGGTATGGTGGGAAGCAAGACAGGAGGATCACAAGTTAGAGATCAGCCCGGGTCACTTATTGACTTAGTGAGATGCTGTTTCAAAATTTAAAAAAAACAACAACAAAAAATGTAAAGAATTAGGGATACAGCTTAGTGCAAAGGCCCTAGGTTTAATCTAAGTTCTGAAAAAAAAAAGTCACAGAAACAAAAGCCAGGCTCAGACATCATCATGGGTGAATTCTATCAAAAACTTAAATGAATTAACACCAATCCTTCACAAACTTTGGTGGGAGTGACCCTTCCCAACTCATTCTGTGAGCCTAGAAACCCTGATAATAAACACAGATAAAGATATTTCAAGAAAAGAAACTCTAGACCAAGGTTTCATGAATATGAATGCAAAAATCCTCAACAAAATACTAGCAAATTGAATCCAGCAACATATAAAAAGAACTTTGCAATATGACCAAGTAGAATCTATACCAGTAATGGAAGGTGGTTCAACATGAAAATCAATTTAGTAAACCATATTAACAGAATAAAAGACAAAAAGCGTACCATTATCTCAATAGATACTGAAGTTAAAACACAAAAATTATGCTCTGAAAACTAGAAAACACTGTTAAAAAAATTACAAAGAAGTAATAAATAAATAGAACAATGGCCTATTTCATGGTTTGGAAGATTTAATGCTAAGATACCACTGCTTTACAGATTGGCCTACACATTCAATACAATCTCTGTGAAAACCTCAGTTGCCTTTTTTTCCAAAACTTGAAAACTTGATACTGAGATTCATACAGCAATACAAGGGACTCAGAACAGCTAAAACAATCTTGCAACAGAAGAATAAAATTGAAGAGTCTGTATTTCCCAATTTCAAAACTTACTGCAAAACTACAAATACAATATAATAATGGCATAGATACAGACACTTAGAACTATGGAGAATTGGAAATAGATGATAATAAAGAAATAAACCCTCACATTTACAGACATTTGACTTTTGACAAGAATGCAAGGCTATTCTATGG